TTGTTTTATATATAAATCGTAATATTCTATATATTTTGCTATAGAATGATGAATATAAATACAATAAAAATTCTATTATTTATAAATTATGGTTTTTAATATATTTTACTATATATATATATATATATCTAATATATTATTTGTTTTTGTAAAACATTTAGACCGCTTACTAAATCGTTTAGGTTTCGATTAGACGTTCTAGGCACTAGGCGACATCCATAATTTCCAACTTTTGTGGAATTGCAATTTTGTAATTATGCCGTAAATAAAATTTTTTTGCAACATGATAACAGGCAGCATAATCATAATTCTGACACTCCACAATGATTTGTAGACAATATACAATTTTACCTTAAGAGCTAAATTTTACCTTCGAAACAAAAATAACTCTAACTACTATATGGAGATCAAAGTATTCAATTTGCAGGCTCATATACTTAACTCTTTCCAAAGCTTTACTTGGTTCACTACTAACCAACTTAATATGTAGATAAAGATTCAACGTTACATATTAAGATTCAACGTTATTAGAATATGTAGATAAAGATTCAAGTAACAAGATAAGAACTTTGTTGCAATGTCCTGGAACAAACATATTATTGTGTTCGGTTTTGTTTCCACCACCAAAGAAGATCAAAGCTTCACCAGATTATAATTCTTAACACAAAAGTGTTGGTTGGTTTAAAATCAAAGCTTTGGGTTATAGTAGTGCGTGGAATAATCATTATTTTGAACAGAGTATATAAAACAAATTAAGAAAGCTATGATGCAACAAATTAAGGCTGAAAAAGAAGAAAAAAAACTTATAGAAACCATCTTGTTATTGGTATGCACACAGAATCTGTAGAGAGGTGGTTGGTTGGTCATTTCTTGCGAGCCAAAGCTGCAGCGATTCCACCGGCAATGAGTCCAACGGCTGTAGCCGTGATGCCTATCCCAATAACACCATCTGCAATTAAGGAACCAACAAAGTTTTTACATCAGAAGTGATCAATTTGTTCAGATTGGTGATAGAAAGATGCTCATAAGCACTTTTATATTACCCTTTGCGATTTTGTCTTCAATTGTTTTCTTTAAGACCAAAGCTTGCCTCCAATCAGGTTGAATCTATATCAAAACCAACCGAGTAAGATGTAATATAGCATTTTTAGCACCGTGAGCCTATTATCGGATTGTGAAGAAAAGTATGAAACCTCGATACAACGTTCCACAAGCTGTCTGCTCTTCGAGTAATCACCAGTACGGTAATACCCAACAGCAAGAAGATAAAGCTTCTCTCGATCCTGCAAAGGAGGGCTACTGCTTTCTAGAGAAGCTGCAACAAAAGATTTTTGTTCAAATTCTGGTTTACACAACCGTTTAATGGAAAAGCTGGTAATAGTTGGGCGATTATTAAGGCACAAAGCGAAGTTTGGCGGTGCAGTAGATCAAAGCACTTTGCGTTTGATGTTAAACTGTATGTAGTTCAGCGAAAAACTATACCTTCGAGCATGGCTATTCCGCGCTGGATATCTTCGGCTTGTCGAGAATGAACAAGAGCCCATGATAATCGCATTATACTCTCTTTCTTTTGTTCTTCAGAGCCACCATCAGTAGCTTCCTTAACCTCTTTCTCACACCCCTGAAACCAAAAAGCATCTGAGGTTTACATTGGAAAGGCATGAAGCTATGTGACATTAACCCATTAAGCTATAACAAATTTGGTAAAGTTCAATAAAGATCATGCTTCCACTGATCATCCGAGTTACACAAAATTTCAACAAATTCCAAAGCAATTGCGTCTTTCAATTCCAAAGCAGAGGATAGATACGATATTGTTGATTACGAAATTTGACAACGATATACACAAACTCGTAGAATTTCTGGAGCTCAGAACGAACAAAGAACGGTCAGATCATCGAGAAATCAAACCTAATTTCGGAAATCCCAGCAATATCACTAACAAAACCCAGGAATATCTGGCGATTTTGTTAACGTTTTTCTCTCATCAAAACCACCGACAGAAGAAGAAAGAGGAAACTTACGGCGATGACATCTCGTTCGCACCATGGGATCTTATCACCGCCGGTGAAGAAGGAACCGATTGAGTCGAAGAAATTTCCGAGTTTAGAATCCATTACTCGCCGGATCCAAATTATCGCCGACTTTGTGTTCTCTTCTCTTAATTCTCAAGTATCATCGATGACGAAAGAGAACGACAAGAAAAATATTTTGTTTCTTTTTGAAATTGTAAATAAGACCCCTTGTGTTTTGGGTTGTTACTAAAGTTATCTCTATATTATTAAAAAAATGCCCATATGGATTGTGAAAGTTTCTGATTAGCAATCTATAAATAACAACAAGATAGCTAGGGGTTGGTCATGGAACAATTTCAAAGTGGTATATTAATCAGAAGCCACTAAACAATGGAGAAAATGACAAAGGGATGGTGGCAACGACACCAGACCATTCGATAGTCCCGCGAACTCTTTCTTCAACCCTATCCAACGCGACCAATTAATGCACACCAAATCTTCTCTTGTTTCTTCTTTGAAATACTAGTAGTATCAGAGTCTCTTGTTTCTTCTTTGTAGTATAAATAGTAATAGAGTCACTTCGTATCCAGAAAAGAGCTAGCTTTCCATAGTATTCCATCCGCCATTGCGGAACCACCATACAACTTTTGATCAAGTGTCTGTACATCACCACTAACAACTCTCCATACATTGAACTTTGTGTCAAGCCAAATTAACCCACGCTTGGTGAAAAAAGCAAAGAGCACACCGTGTGCTACGCACATGCACCAAATTACCAATCATCATCAATTGTCATCTCCAGCTTCTCTTTTCTTGTACCTTGTCTACTAAGGTTAAAAACTGTCATGATACTCCATAGCATAAACCTTCCCCTCTAGGGTCACACATGACTTCATCATCCATCTGCTGTTCACTTTCTCGTCAGGGACATGGACTCCATCGACTTTCCAAGTTTGAGATTCTAGATCGAAAACCTCCTCATGGATCTCCCCGTTTTCCACTTCATCGATCACGTATATCTTCCCGTCGACTACTCCCACGGTGCTTCTCGACGAAGCAGATAGAGACTTCTGCATGATCGGACCCTGACGTAACTTACCAGATCGTGTATCAAGGATCCACAACTCCGTGCCGATAAAGTAGATCTCTGAATCCACCGTGACAGTCAAAGAGCTGAACATGAAGAAACGACAAGGGAACGAGACCGGGACCAATTGATACTCATTGGTCGTTGTTGGACGGAGAGTCAACCAAAGATAGGTGGGATCAGTAGTAGACAAGTTATCCAAATCGCATAAGCAGACATAGACGAAATCTTTGTGGAAGAGGGATCGCATACGGTAGACTCATGCGACCAGACGAGGGACCTGAGCCTCTTGGAGACGGAAGAGATGGTTTTGTAATAGCGTCTCGGGACACGGACTAAGCAGTCCAAAACCAACTCGTCGGGCAAAGAAGAAAGGGACGACGACGATACGTTTTTTGTTTTTTCCATAGTGTTAGCCATTGATACTACGAAAAAACCATGCAAGGCGAGATACTAGGTATTCGCAGGGTTAAGACCATGTTCAATTTTAGAACTCCTAAATTAAAAACTCTAACCAATTTTTTTATTATATATTTTAATTTAAAAACTTTTAATTTTTTTTTTATTTTCTAATGGTAGAATCCCTAATGGGATTTTTAATTAAAAAAAATGAAAATATTTTATTTTAAGTAGAATTTTATTTTCTCAAAATTTATAAACATAGTCAAAAATCTATTTCCTCCAAGGGTAAAATTTATAAATGTTGTATGTGTGTTTATTTTTTTTTGCCTTGTCAAAAAAATCATCGCCGAATCAATGGGTGACACGTGTCACCTAAAAACCACATCTTAAATCTCTTAATTAAGGATCGGTTCTTAATAATATAACCAAT